AGATTTTAATTTTATTGCTGTTCTTTGCTTTTTGAAATACACGTTGAAAAATGAGCTTATACTTTGCTATTGAAGTAAAATGTATTAGAAATGGGGACAGATATTTAACAAAAATGAAGCAAGGCTTAATAACTACTCTTAAAATGTTTATTCTATATTTACTAAAATACGCAATGATGATTCATAAGGACAAATTTGTCTTTATTAAACTTTTATTCAGATTCTGTTGACTTGTGGGATGTTTGTTTTTCATATATTAAATAAAGGTGTTACATTAGAGTATTTAATGTTCCTTTCAACGTCAAATTCTGTGATTCTAAATGTTTTGTCAGGTGGACAGAATACTTAGATTTTCCTTAAGTTACACTGTAAGTGTAGATAAGATGCCAAGAAAAAAAGTGGGAGAATGCACCCTTATGCATCCTTTTAACAAACCTTACAAAGAGATCCTATGAAACTAGAACACTGCACAGTGTTGTCCAGCAAAAGAAATTTTCAAGGAGAAAATTATCAGCTCATGCCTCTAAGGACAATCACATGTCTGTCTTTTACTCTACTGTTTATTAGAGTTTTGATAATAAAGTTTCTTAATCATCTGAACCTTGCAAAATCAGAGTGATAGCTACTGAGTCTCCCACAGTGGTTTTCATGAGGATTTAATAACATGATAAGTTAGGGAGCATCTAGTAAAACTTAATATTCAGTGAACTTAAATGATTACAAAAAGGCGGATGAAAATCTTGAAGAAATTATTGGATGTGGTGATTTGAATAAAAGTATTGTGGGGGGGCTTAAAGCCAGATTAAAGCAAAGTTGGGGCCATGGTAAAAATACTGAGTAGAGGAGTTTGTCAAGGCATTAGTAGTAAGAGAGAGATGAGCTGACGTGTTTATTCCTTACTTTGCCATTGCAGTTCTTCCATGCTTGTTGGTGTTTCCTGCTAGACTAGCAGTAGATGGATGGCAGGACCTACAGCTGCAATTTGAATAAATACTTGCTGAATGACTAGAACATATAACTAGTGAAGAAAAACTTTGTAATATGAGTACACACATGGCTGTATGTTTAAAATGAATAAGATGTGTTCATAAGTTGAAGGGAAAATTTGGAAAGGTATTGATTTCCTTGAAGAAATGGGAAAGAACAGGGTCTCACAAATGAAACAGCTGATCTTACACAATAGACTCTTCCCAGCAAAAAAAATATCAGTCCCAGAAGGTTTTTACCTTGGAATTCTTTAAAACTTCAACCCCCAGATGACTATTTCAAAGTTCTTTTTACAAAGCCAGGGTAAGATGATAACAAAATACTGTTGGTGGAGATATATAGATGAGTTTTCACAGAAAAAAATATTTAATAACATTATCAAATAGAACCTAGCATTACATTAATAATACTGTAACCAAGTGGGATTCATTCTAAGAATTCAGTGATCACATTAATCCATACTAGTTAGTGGAAGGGAGGTATGAATATCTTGAACACTTAGAGGGATACCAAAAAGGGCAAGAGGAAGATTTCAACATTTATTTATACCAATAATTCTTAATAAAACAAGAATAAAGAGATATTCCAAGGGTTTCATTATCTCATATCAGAAGCCAGAATTTTTTTACTATAAATAGTAAAATGCTAAAATTCCTATTTTAATATTTAGTAACATGTTGACTTCTGTTAAAAAGTCATGAATCTGAAAAGATCCAACCAGTGAGGCCAGGGAATAAGCTCAGTTACCACACCTCCTGCCTCACAAGTGCAAGAGTCTGAGTTCAATCCCCGGTACCAGGAAAAAAAAAAAAAGAATTTTAAAAGTGTGTGTGTGTGTGTGTACACACATATATACATATACATGCATATACATATATATGTATGGATGGATTAGGGTCTCACTGCAATCCAAGGTGGCCTTGAACTCACTGTGTACCCCAAGGCTGGCCTCAAACTCCAGCAGTCTTGCCTTGGCCTCCCAAGTCAAGGGATTACAGGTGTGCACCCCACACCAGGCATTTTCCGTGTTATGTTTGTGACACATAATGATAAATTGAAATTGGGCTTTGATAATATACGTAAAGTATCTTGACTGTTTTTATTCCTCCTACTCTTCTTGCTCTCTCCTCCCCAAATCCCATTCCCTTCTCTACAGAATCTACCTCACTGTTTCTTAACATGGCTCTTATTTTTCTCACTCACTTTTTCATATTTTGTATCTCACATACTAGAGAAACCCTGTGATATTTAACCCTTTGTGATTGATTTATTTCACTTAGTACTTTGTTATGGTCTCATCCATTTTCCTACAAATGACTTAAATTTATCCTTTATGGCCGAGTAGTACTCTATTTTATACACACACACACACACACACACACACACACCCCATATTACCCTTCATCTGTTGATGGGATATAAGCTGCTTCCATTATTTTAGCTATTGTGAATTATGCCGCTGCAAACATGGGTATACATGTATCACTGTGGCTCTTTTGGGAAGATACCTAGGTGAAATATAGCTGGGTCAAATGGAATTTCTGTTTTTAGTTTTTTGAAAAATCTTCATACTGTTTTCCAAAGTGGTTGTCCTGGTGTATAGTAGGGTTCTGTTATATAACATTGTCTTGGGAATGCTAACCAATATAATTGGATGAAAAAACAAAGTATATATAAGGTATATAATGATTGAAAAGGAGGAGACAATTTTATTATTTATAGATGACATTGTATATCTGAAAAAGCCAAAATAAACTAAAAAGCTACAATGAATAATGAAATTTCAGTATGACTGTAAAGTACACAATAATGGTTTCTCTGAAGTGTTTTGTTCTTTGCTTTCTGAAAATACACCAATTTAAACTTACCTCTTCATTTTGAGTAAGAACTTTTTTTTTTTTTGGTACTGGGGAATCAAACTCAGGTCTTTGTGCTTGTGAGGCAGGCAGCACCACTGAGCTAAATCCCTGGCCTGAATATGAACAATTTTGAAATAAACTTGTGGAGTGAATACATTTAGAGTGACTATGAGGAAATAATTTTTTTTTAAATTCCTTGTGGCTTGTGATACTTGCTCTATGTCAGAGAGCATGTAACCTGATCTTTGAGCCATATTTGGTAAATAATAATTTTGTGTGGAACCCACTGTTCTATCAGTAAGAGGAAAATTATTGCCCATATGTAAGTTTTTTCTTTGCTGTTAAAGCATTTCCTGACATACCAAGTTATATCATGTATTGATTGCTTTTTTGTTTTTTAAGATGCTGTCTTCTAGTATTTCTACCATTATAGCAAGAAATATGTTGAAACAAGTATTTTCAGGAGAAAAATATTTTTTTCTCTTACTATAAATTATCTTTATATCCTAAATATAAATTTTATATTGTTTCATAAATTATTTTTATAAATTTTAATATTTTTATTTAGCATCAGCTCTCAGGATTGAGCTGTCCCACATATTTACTTTTGTAGCTATTCTGAAGTCAGTGTTTATAGTTGTATCTCTTAGGGTGTTACACAGTTGACTCAGTGAAACCTTAAGCATAGCTGTTGCTTTAGCCTTTATGAAAATGAAAATTTATGTATTCTCACATGTTTGGAACAACAACAAAATGAATGAATCTTCTTATTTTTTAATGCAGAAAAATGTATTGGCTACCTATCATGTGCCAGGCTGTTAGGTGCTTTATGTAGTTTTTAACTAAATCTCATTACAGTCCATTGAGATGAGGAGCAGTGTGTCATTTTAATAGAAAGAAAACTATAGAGTATAATTGAAGGCCATGCCAAATCAGATGTGAACCTAAGTCTCTTTTCTTCTTGAATTCTTTGACCTACTACATGCCATCAGGGTTGAAAATTTACATTTTTTCATTAAAAAATTTTTAATCTTATTGTATTGCTAGTACTACAAAAACAGGAAGTTCTTTGAATCCCTGTCTTCACTTTGTATGTATGTTTTGTCTAGTTACAATTCTCATATTTGATAACAGCAGAGAATGTAGATGATTTTGACTGCTGTGGAATTTGTTTCTTAGAAAAACTCCTAAGGGTACCAGCTTACAAGCATAAAAGACATAATTTCCAAACCCTAGAAATCTAATTAGTACAACAGTCTACCACTTCTAATGTTCTATTATTTCTGTAACCTTTATAGTTGGAAGTTTGTTTGGGTTTTTGTTTTTATATGGGCCTAATTGTTTGGGTTTTTTTTAATCATTGAATCTATTTTGGTAATGGAAAAAAGAATTTGCCGTGTGGTTGAAAACCACATCTTATGAGCTGTTCTTTGCCTGTCTCTTTAAGAATTACCAAGTACTTTTTCAAAAATCAAAATTTGAAATTTAGTTCATTGCTGTGATTTATCTACAGCATTTTAAAAAATCCTGAGAATTAATTATAAAAAATTAGGGAAGCAGTTTAAAAAATAGTAGCAAATACAATAACAAAATAGCACAAAATGACCAGAAAATGCAGTCTTTATAATTCCTGTTTTAACAAAGAGAATAGATTTTGCTGTTGTTTTTCTGTGATAGTTATTTTGCTACCCTGTTAGAAAAGCTGTTGTTAAAAGCCAGTAGAGGCGGGCATGGTGGCACATGCCTATAATCCCAGCACTTGGGAGGCTGAGGCAGAGGATCGCTGTGAGTTCGAGACCAACCTGGGCTACATAGTGGTCCTGCGCCTACCTCACAACTGCAAGGTCCTGAGTTCGATCCCCAGTACCAAAAAAAAAAAAAGAAAAAGCCATTAGAGATCTCTTAAAAGCTATTGTTTGAATTTCTAGAATTGGTAATCTAGACTGAATTTGAGTAGATTAAGAGAATGCCTTAACTAAAGCGATTTGCTTTTTCTCTGTAACTTGTAATTTAAGAAACCCTTTTCTACCTCACAATACTTTGTTGGAGATTTTAGTAACTCCCTCATTGCTGTTAGATCTTACAGTGTTGTCTGGTCACGTTTCTTATTTTGCCTATTTGATAGTTTACACTAGTTTCTCTTCTGCTTTCAAGGCTCCAGACCCAGTTCCTGGACCTGCCCTGGAAAAGAAGTATCCAGTAGAGATGAGCTCACTGCAGTTACTTAATTAAAAATTTGTAAGCTGCAAAAATGGCAAAGGGCCAGCCAAGAACAGCTACAATTTGAATTTTTCTATTTCCAGGTATGCTAAAGTCCATGGCACCAGTCAAGATTAGCTGTGTAATTGCCTTACTATGAAATCTATAATCATAACTTTACTTTCAAAATTTGTAGCCGTCTTGCTTTAAACACAGTAGCCTTCCTAACACCTAGGTAATTAGTGGATAGTATTGACTTTAACATAACTTTTTGCCTGAATATTTCTAATTTAACTTGTTTGCTAGTCACAGCAAACTAATGCAAAAAACAGTTTCTGAAAAATAACTTTGAAATTCTATTGAGCTAAGCTTCACAGATGTACAAAAAGTACTGTGGTCCTAATTGAAAAGTAAACATTAACAACAGCAACAGTCCTCCTGTGGGAGGTTTACATATAATACAGATAATGGAATAAAATTAATGAAACAAATTCTCCTTTCTGAGATCCTCATCTATTCTGTGCTATTAATGTCTTCATATAAAACGCGAATACATTCTTCAGTGATTGGCAGTCATAAGTAATGCTTCTGGATTGAGCCAAATAATGTATTACAGGTCTTTTACTTGAAGAATTTAACTATATTTTAAATGTAAGAGTATAATTAATACTGGCTAATTTTTAAATTTGTTTGCTTATAAGAAGCCAGATAAGAAAGTCATATATAGTTGAATTTGTCCTAGATGTAACAAGAAAACTAACAGCTGTTATTTTCTAATGCCTTAGATTTTTAACCAAGGCAAACTACTCATGAATGGTCAGATGGACAGTGTTAGCTTTTAAGGGCATTTATTGCTTTTATCAATTTGCACAGTATTAGAAAAAGAATTAACCCATAAAAGGTGGCTTTATTTACTAAATGGATAGAGAATCATATATATTTTGATTTTAAAAGTCAGTTCGTAGATTATAAATTACTCAAAATTGAAAAGAGGAATTTTGTATGCTGTTTATTCATTTTGACATGTGATCCTAATATTCTAGCATATGCTTGACTCCTTTACATTTCTTCACTGTTAATGCATAATGACTTTTAACATAAGGCAGTCTAGTTAGCATTAGGTTGCTGATGGTATACCACATTATTTGTTTGCTTTTGAAGGAATTGTGTCTCACAGATGTTGAAGTAAGACTGGGAAAGGGGCAATTAGCAGAGTTATTACAGAATCATTACCACTATTAGGCTAAATGAAAGAGGAAATTGAAAGAATTGTATATGACTATCAAATCGTACTTTCTCAGTAGTGAAATTTTTCTGTATTATTGAATGTTAATTGTGTGTAAAATACTACTAGTTTTAGTTTACTAGGCACCATAGTAATGTATAAATGAATAAAGTTTATTTTTTGTGAGTTTACCAATAAGCACAATTGGTTGTTTGTGGCCATGGGTTGGTTCTACACCGTCCACAAAATGAAAATTAATTAATCAGGTGCATGGCCTGCATTCCAGCATTCTGGGAGGCTGAGGCAGGAAGATGGAAGTTTCAAGCCCGTCCTAGGCAGCTTAGCAAGACCCTATCAGAATTTAAAATTTTCAAAAGAGCTTGTAATGTTGTTCAGTGTGAAGGCCCTGCGTTCAATTCCCAGCCCTAGGTGAAAAAATTGAACCTAATATGGTTGTATCTGTATTAAACACATAGAAACTCTTTTTACTCTTGTTATTATTTTCCAAATGCTACATTACAACAACTATTTACAGAGGATTTACCTTACACTAGGAATCATTAATAATCTAGAGATAGACTATACAAGAGAATACATCACCATTTTATAAAAGGTACTTGAGCATCTGTTGATTCTGGTATTGTTGGAGGGTCCTGGAATTCATCTTCTTTGAATACTAGGAGACAATGAGAGTACCAGAGAATCAGCCTTGTGAAGGATGTAATGTTTCTGCTGAGCCCTGAAGGATAGAATTTTTCAGAGAAAATTGCAAGAGTATTTCTTTTGCATGTTCTAAAACCATTCTCTTAGGATCCATTGTGCATACAGAATAGTGGGGATTTGCTGGGAAATGGAGCTATGTCATACATAGCATGTTTTCAATAAGTGAGAAAGGAGTTTGAACTTAATTTTGTAAGCAGTGGGAATCCTTTGAAGATTTCTTGGCACTAGTGCTATAAAAGTCAGTGAGTCTTCTTGAAAAAGCTGGCTACAGTAGAGTCAAGGTTAAAATAACAAAATTTGAGATTAGGCAGTAGTAATTTGTAATAAAGGACAACATTGTTCTATTTGCCAGACAAAAGAGTTTTACCAGTAATTTCTTCTTAATCTTCACTACAGGAATATTGCAAGAAGTAACCGAAATAATATTGTTAAGCATTTAGTGTAGGACTTGGGCATCATGAGTTCTGAACCAGAGTGATTATAGTACAAGCACAGAGAAAATAATGTCTTGTCCACCTTTGTGTATGGTAACTTTTTGTAAGGGTATAGTGTTTATTGGTTATAGTAACAGTAAACTTACTTTTTCTTTTATTCTCCTCTTTCTTGTAATCAGTTAAATTCTTATTAGTGGATGAATGCAACTTACTTGGTTTGAGGACTTGAATAAGTAAGTAGTTTAACTTGAGTTAGCTGTGGGTGAAAAAAGTCGTCTTTTTTTTTAAAAAAACCATGGGTTATAAATTAGGAGATTCATAAGTTTAGAGGTGGTTAATCTTGGGCATGGTCATATGAGCTCATAGGAAACATTAAAATTTAAAAAAATTCTCAGATGATTGAGCTGTTAACAGTTTTAGCATAAACAGCATAGACTTTGAGTTACTTGAAAATAGCTGCAGTTGGCTAAGTACAGATGCTTTCAAATAACATTCTCTCATACTTTTACTTTCCTATCCCACATATCAGAATGCAAGTAATATTATAGGAAAATATATCGAGAATAATAATAATAAAGAAATATTTACCCTGCTCTAATTCTTTCAGTGTATGCTTATTCAAGTAAAACATGAATAATAGTATTTTTAAAACAAATATTACAGAATTGAAACTAATTCTTTAGTGCCTTTAGAACCTTTCTTGTGCATTTATATAAAAATATCTCTTTTAAAATATCCTTTTGAAGGGCCAGGGATTTAGTTTAGTAGTGCTGCACCTGCCTGACAAACACAGGTCCTGAGTTCAATTTCCAGTACCTGGTACCAAAAAAGAAAAGGCAAAAAATGTCTTTTGTCTTTTTTGTCATATTATACATGGAATCTACATTTTGATTTTTTTCAATCAATAATGTCATATAGGTCTTTCCATATAATTATTTGAATATTCTACTCCACTAAGAAAAAAATAAATGATGTATGTATTCCTTATTATGACTATGCAATTATTTATTCCTCGATGGATATTCAGGGTGTTTTGATAATACCCACTGAGGTGACTATCCTTGTATGCACTTCTTTATACATGTGTTTTTGTCTAAATTAGGTGCTACAATTTATATAGATACATAAATGTACAGAAAACTCTCAGTACTTTTTCCTAGTAACAAATACCCATTTTCACTATGTCTAACCCATTATCTTAAACATCACACTACCACTGCTGTCATATATGCACACAGACACACCCTGACAGCTGGCCAGAAGTCCACTATGAGAAAATGTTAGCCAACAGCTGTGACATTAGAAAGAAGATAAGCAAAGTTATGTGAGATGAACAGAAAAAAACATGAGACTGAGTAAGAGATTGAACCCACATGAGGATCAATTGATGAAACATCTCATAACTTTTTCTGAATCCTCAGATTAAGATGACATTTTAAATTACTATTTAGCCATATTATTCAAATTTGTACATGTCATTGTATTAATTGGTTCATTATAAATATTTATGGTTGATATAAGATGAAAATGACTCTTACAAGGAGTTTGATTTTTTTCTTTCCCTTTTACCAATAAATAAAAACATTAACATTTAGCTCCTTTTTTTAAGGATAATATATATGCACAGGTTAGGTTATGCAGAAATTATACTAAGGGGGGGACTAGAAGGTAACTTTGTTTCCATCTTAAAACCCTAATTTTTGGAAAATAATTGTAAGATATGAGTTGGAAAATACACACAAGGTAGTCAGTTATGTAATATGTTTTGTCTCAGATTTATTGCATTTTTCTTAATCCTTAGAAAATGGTAGCACCCACCATAAAACCACAATGCATAAGTTGCCAAGTGTGGCTAACTTGCCACATTCCTTGTAGGAGAACTTATAACTAACTAGTGAACCTTCAACCATAAGTGAGCTACATTCAAAGCTCTGAGGCAATGCATTAAATGAGAAAACTGGGAAATTTTCTCACTAGTGTGGATCATTACTTCAGCTAGTAATGTTTACTAGTACAAATAAGTACTAAGATCCTTCTCTAGAAAGTAAATTATTCCAGGCTCATAACGTTGAGATAATCTACTTTTTGATATCCTAATCCTTTGCTTTCTTCAGGCTTTTAAGTAACACTAAAACTAAACATAATTTAATTAACATTTGGATGACTGATTTAGTATGTTTCTTTTACTTTATTTTTGCAAATACATGTAGCATTATTATTGTTTTATGATAAAGTTCATGCTAAAGGTTAATTATAATTATTTTACATTTATCTTAAATGGTGATATTTGAACTTTAGATTTTAGCTGCATAGCTATAATTCCTGCATTTTTATCTTAGAAAAAAATAGCTTGATATTACAGATTTCTTCAAAAGTTCTTTTGCCTTTATAGAATTGTAATGTCATACTCTAAGAGATACAATTCTAGTAATTTTCTATAAACATAATGTTGATGTTTTTGTAGGTTAAATTAATGACGTAAATTCTTCTAAAGTTAATCAGATATAAAGTGCACCAAAAATTACCTAACCTGGCATATGATGTGATACTTTATAATACATCAGTATGTAAAAAGTATTTAAAATAGTGCATATAGTAAGGTAATATTGTTCTTTCAGGTTTAAAAGTTTTAAATCTTTACTGAAATCAAAAGACTTCAGGGCCGGGGATTTAGCTCAGTGGTTCCGCTGCCTGTCTTGCAAGCACAAGGGTCCTGAGTTCG